ATAGCAAGACCCCCATCTCTTAAAAGAACAAAAAAAGGAAATTCAAACTGTAAGTAAAAAATTCTCAGCCCCAAAAAGTACCAGTCCCAAATGCCTTCATCAAAAAATAATACCAATCATTTAAAGAAGAAATAATGACAAAGTTACATAAATCCTTATAAAGAATAGAAAGGGGCTGGCGCTGTAGCTCAGTGGGAGAGCACTTGCCTACTATGCAAGTGGCCCTGGGTTGGATCTCCAGCACCAAAACAAAAAAGGCAGAGTGGCCAGAGAGGACCTTTTCATTTACAAGCCAATTGCCAACAGCATTATAAGGAGGACAGTTATGGGCTAACTTTACTCATGAACATACATGCAAGCAAAATGTTAGCAAACTTGGCAAGAATTTTATAAAAGGAATATACATTACATCTGGCTGTGTTTATTCCAGAAATGTGGGGTTAGCTTAATGAGTATTATTTAATTCCACAATGGAGTAAAGGAGAATATTACATAATGTCATCAATAAAAACAGAAAGAGCACTTGATAAAATTCAACATCCATTCAATTTTAAAAAATGAAACATTAGTAAGCTTAAAGAATAGTATAAAAACCAAGCCAGGTGTGGTGGCACACATCTGTAATACCAGCTCTCAGGAGGCTAAGGCAGGAGATCATGAATTCAAAGCCAGCCTGGGCTACAATAGTAGGACTCTGTCTCAAAAAAAAAAAAAAAAAAAAAGAATATTACAAAATTCAACAGCACCCCCCATATTTAATCATGAAGTGTTAAAAACTTTCTCTTTGATATGTAAAACAAGAAGGCTGCTCTCACCCACTTCTATTTTATAGTGCATTCAAAGTCCTTGTGAGCACAAAATGGCAAGAAAAGTTTAAATGTTAAAGAGTTAGAAAGAAAGAAAATTGTTATTATAGGTGATATGGTTATGATGAAGGAATTCAAGAAGACCCACACATAAATTATTAACATTTTTTGTGGTACTGGGGTTTTGAACTCAGGGCCTGCTTGTTAGGCAGGCACTCTGCCACTTGAACCACTCCACCAGCCCTATAAATTATTAACACTAAATGTGATTTTAGCAAAGTTGCTAGATATATGGTCAATAACAAAAATCAATTTACATACCTACAACAAACAGAATATGAATTTCTTAAAGAAATATATAACTTACAGTAGCATAAAAAGGTATCACATAACTGGGAATGAATCTAACAAAAATGATTTAAAAATATGTGTTCAGAAATTCTAAAACATCAGTAAGGGAAATGAAAGATGCTTAAATAAATAGAGGCTTTACTATGTCATGTTGGGAGGCTTGGCATTGTAAGAGACAATTCTCCCCCAAATCATTTCTATAGCCATTATAATTTATGTCACAATTGCTACAAATATTTTTGTGGAAATAGACAAACTTTTACTAAGATGTACATGGAATTACAGAGGGAAAAAAATAACCAAAATGCTTTTGAGCATTTTGGCAAAGGGAGACCATTCTCTACTGGATATCAAGACTTATAAACTAAGGTAGTAATTAAGAAGTGTGATACACTGGGCCAAGTGGCTTACACCTGTAGTTTCAGCACTCAGGAGCCTGAGGCTAGAAGACTGGGAGTCTGAGACCAGCATGGGACACCCTGTTTCAATATAAACAAACAAAAATGTAGTGCCAACATACATAAAGGCACCAAAACAACAAAATACAGAGCTCAGAAACAATCTACACATAAATGGGCACTTGACTTAGAACAAGCTAGGCAATGGAAAAAGTTCATTTGTAGCTTCGTTTGTTTTTCCTTTTAATTTTATTTATGTTAAGGGATCATATAATAATGAAGATGCAACTGGAAATCTATGTGGAAAGAAAAGCCGTAGTCCCCACTTCACTTCCTATTTAATAATCCATTCTAGGGAAGGAATGATCTCAATTTAAAATCAAAACAACAAAGCTCCAATAAAGTAATACAGGAAATATCTTAATTACCACAGGGTATGGAAAGATTTCGTAAGAAGAAACAACACACACCGTGGAAAAATAAGAGGAAAAAACTATTTCAAAATTAAGGATTTCTGCTCATCAAAACACACCCATGAGAATGTAAAAGGCAAGCCACAGAAGGGGAAAAGATATTTTTTAATATACAGAACTAAAAGATTTATATATTATGTATATCCAAAATATACAAATAACTCCTAAAACCTGGAAAACAATCAAATAGAAAAATAAGCAAAGAAGCTCTCCCAGTAATATCCAAATGGTCAATACACATCACGAGTCATCAAAGAAATCCCCATTAAAACCACAATGAGACACTATCCCACATGTGCTAGCATTTCTAAAATTAGAGACTGCTGATTCCAAGTATAGATAAGAATATAAATGCTGGGGGCTGGTGACTAACGACTGTAATCCTTGCTACTCAGGAGGTAGAGATCAGGAGGATCATGGTTCAAAGCCAGCCTTGGGCAAATAGTTCTCAAGACCCTATCTTGAAAAATTCCCAACACAAAAAAGAGCTGACAGAGTGGTTCAAGTGCTATGGTGCCTACCTAGCAAGGCTGAGGCCCTGAGTTCAAACCCCAATACCGCAAAAAAAAAAAAAAAAAAAAAAAGAATATAGAGCAGTAGGTCCTCTCCTATACTGCTAATTAGGCTAATTACGTTGTAAATGGGCACAACCACTCCAGGAAACCGTTTGACATCTATTAAATTTGACTTGAAGATTACCTTTCTACATGTACAGTAAACAAAAATCCATGCACATATGTACCCAGTGGCCAAAAATACCACTCCTTCTGATGTCCACAAACATTGGAGTGAGAAAGAGTAGTAGGGTCACATAATAGATTACCCTAGCAATGAAAATAAATGAAACTGCAGATTCACCAAGCTTACATTATGCTGAGCAAGAGAAAAGCCAGACCCAAAGGATCATCCAGTCTACTTCCTATTGCATAGTGCTCAGAAAGAATCAGGTGAAACTCAACAGAGCTTAGGATGCACGTTTATGAAGAATCGCAGCAGGGGCTCACTGTGAAGCCAGGCCAGTGATTACCTTAGACCATGTGGGGGAGCACACAGCCAGAAGGGCACAAGGAGCATTAATGAGCATTGGCAATATTCCCTTTTTCCGGGGGCGGGGAGGGGGGGGCAGGGGAATCAAGAGCTTGAATTCAGAACCTTTACCACTTGAGCCATACACCAAGCCCTTTTTATTTTAGCTTATTTTTCAGATAGAGTGTTTGCCAGGGCTGGCCTGGAACTGTGATCCTCCTATCTCTACTCTACACATAGCTGGGATTATAGGCTTGCACCACCATGCCCTGGGGGGTTTTTGGTTGTTTTTGAGATAGGCTCTCACTAGCTTTTTTGCTAAAGAAGGCCTCAAATCTCAATCCTCTCACATAGCTGAGATTACAGGCATACCCATGCCCAGCCCCCAAGATTCTATTTCTTGAGCTGGTTGATGGTTATATGCTGTTTACATGCTAAAAATTCACTGAGCTCTACGTTCTTGTTTTGTACTAAATCTTACAATTAAAAAGTTTCAAAAACCATATTCAAATAAAATCTTTCAAAACATTTATGTAATTTTTTTAACATTTTAGCACTAAATTTTAATATTATGAGGTCCTCAGAACTAGTAGTACTAAAGTTTAAAGGAACATTTTCTAATTATATGTATGCTAGCCTTTCAAATAATATAAGAGATAAGTAAGCATGGGCAGTAGATTGGCTCAAGCGGTAAATGCCTTCACAGCAAACATGAGGCTAAGTTCAGCCCCCAGTACCACCAAAAAAAAAAAAAAAAAAAGCAAAGAAAAAGAAAGAAGCAAACATTACAGCAGAATTATGTAAAGGGCCATCTACACTCTCAGCACTCTAGAGGCTACCATTGTGTCGCTAAGTGGTGTTGCTTCAGAAAAAAAATCAACCAAAATCAGCTTATTTTGTAGCAACTATGATACCATTGTAATAACCTGATAATAAGTGTTAGCTAGGTCTAGTCCCTTTGGTATTACTGTCTATTAAATAGGCCAATATACCTCTTAATGCAGTTCATGTGTTTTCACCATCGGATGGCCAGAGAGCATTTCTATTTATGTACATTTTCTATTTAGATAAAATGCTACCTAGTAGATAGTGCCTGAGAGTTGCAAACGAGCTGATATTCTTTCAGGGAGTAAACAATGGAAGGCAAAGGCATACTGCAGGATAATGTGCCTAATGCTTGGCCAGGGCCAACTTTTCTCTGACTGATGGATGAAAACTGGCAGGAAAAAAATTCCAAATTTGGACAATTTACTACTTTAGGAACATAATTATATGATAGGTAGTTCTACAGCAATAAAATACATTAAGAACTCCTACAACTCAATAGGTAGCACATGTATTTTCAAATGGGTAAAAGGTACAAAAAGTAATTCACAGAAAAATATCAGAATGGTCAATAAACATGAAAAGACATGAAACATTAACAATAACTAAGGAATGTTGATTAAAACCCAATAATTCTTTCAGTTTGGCAAAAATGAAAAAGATCAAGAATATGCAATGTTGATGGGGTATAGAAAAATAAAACTGCTTATATATTTATGGCAGGAGTATAAATTGGTACAGAGTTTTTGCAAAGCAATGTAACAGCATCTACAAAATTGTAAATACATACATGTATTCTAAACCCAGAAATTTCATTTTAAGGATACCCTATGAAAATATTAGTGCTAAGTAAAAAGCTATGCTAAGAATAAGTCGATTTGTGTATATACATGCAACAGAACATCAACAAGCACTCATGTTAAAATTCCACAAGTCCTTGTGGGGCTGGGGATGTAACTCAGTGGTAGAGTGCTTGCCTAGCACGCACAAGACCTGAATTCTATTCTCAGCACTGCAAAAATAAATAAATAATGCTTGAGATTCATAACCTGCATAAGTAAGGCATCTTAATCAGGAATGGAATAACAAAAAAGGCAGTAAAGATAAAGACGAAAACTCACCTGCACTATATCCAAAACCATGCCAGCCGAAACTGTTCCAAAACCAGCCAACAAAAATGGCACAAGTATTTGCAGTGCCATGACGCCACTGGATTCCTTTGGCAACTTTGGGTTTGTCTCCACAATTACGTCGTCGCCACCCTCGCTAGACAGATCTTCATCCTGTAACATGGCAGTGGTTTCTGAAGTCTCCCTCACGCCACAGTAATTGTAGTTGGCATAGTCATCGTACTTTGGGCTGCAGCTTGTCGGCGCATGCCCATTACTGCCATGAAAGGACTGCTCAGAGAACCCGTGAAACTCCACACGCGGCTCAGATCTAGTACTCAAAGTCTGGGCCGCACTTGATAATCCATCTTGCCAGACGCCATTTGCTTTTTTGTGCCTGTCTTCCTGGTTTTTCTGGTAAATTACTGGAACCATACTCAACACTAAGTTCAAAAACTTATCAGATTGAATTGTATTTAAATTTAAAGTCCAATCTTTCAAAACTCCTCCACTACTTGGACTACCACTTGTTTTACTAGTAATAGATCTTCCTTTGCTATTAGTCATATTGTCATCACAAGAGTCCCTGTATTCTCAGACCTCAAACTTCGAGAACCATAGTAGCTGAATCAGAACCACGCAAATACTTGTTTAAATTAAGTTGTAGACATCATTGTGTAGAAAATGATCCCACTAATAAAAGACGTCTAGAAGTTCTACAGAGGGACTGGATCTGTAAAGAGAAAAATAAAATAAATTTTAAAAATCAGATTAAGTGGGCTGGGGATGTAGCTCAGTGATAGAGTGCTTGCCAAAGGAAGGCCCTTCTGATTCCCAGAGCCACAAAGAATAAAATCAAGTTAGCTCCATTTATACTTAATTTTCATAATTAAAAGTATAAAACATGTCTTAAACCAACCATTAGGTACTGATACTATACTGTGTGTGCTTGAAACAGAACTGCTTTGTGCCACACAACTGCTTTGTGTATAGAAATATAATAGAGCTATTTTTGTGCTCAATCTTGGATAGATAAAATTGTTTCTTATTTTACATTCTTTTTGCAATTAATACCCATGTAAGGTCTTTAACTGCCTTTAAAGTTACAAAGTAGATAAATTTATGAAATAAAATGATGGCTTCCATCACTACAGAGAGGACTCAATCAAATTGTACATATTTGTACAAAATAGAAGATAAAGCATATATCATCATACTTTAAATAAAAACCATACTTTATTTATAACTTAATATACATTTGGTCATTAAAATATGAAAAGACAGTTGGGCGCTGGTGGCTCATGCCTATAATCCTAGCTACCTGGGAGGCTAAGATCAGGAGAATCGAGGTTTGAGGCCACCCTGGGCAAATAGTTGAAGAGACCCTATCTCCACAATAACCAGAGCAAAATGGATTAGAGATGTGGCTCAAGCAATAGACAACCCGCTTTGCAAGCACAAAACCCTGAGTTCAAACTCCAGTCCCACCAAAAAAAAAGAAGAGCAGATACAGTACAAGGACATTTATTTCACATAATCTTTTGATTGTTTAGGAAATAATCAGACTGAAAAAGGAGATTATAAATATTCACTTAGTCCTCCATTTTGCAAGCTAACCAAAACAAAGTGTGGAATGTACCACTTACTTCTCACAATCTGTTCTGGTCCATACTCCAAGAGTAGGCACTTGACTTGCTGGCAGTGATTAGATTCTCTCTTTAGAGAAAACTTTGAAACAAGAGGCACAGATACATACTGTAGGTGGTCACCAACAGGCATGAAAGCTGCAATGCCATATACCACCCACCCAGGTAGAGAACCTGACTACTGTCACAGTTACTGCCATGGTTGGAGAGGCTTTCAGAGTGGTCTGTCCTAATGGGTCTAAAAGTCAGAAACACCCAGAGCTATCTTACACTTCCAGGGACAAAAAACTGGCATTGACTAGATAAAGGATAGATGGCCCCACTGCCTGTCGAATGGCGAGACTAAGAATTGTTGCCACCAGTACTGCTGATCTTAATGAAAATTAGTTCATTCTTCAGTATTTGTTTTCAGTACCTTAGAATACCCATGTCATCTCCTTAGATAGGAAGATTAATAGCAAGGAGTGGCAAAGAGCAAGAGACAGGACTATGCAGGAGACAAGCAGGTGCTACAAATGGCCCATCTATTTCATTACTCACTTTCGTCCTTCCCGTGATTATAGAATTTGTGCTGTGGAACATTCTTGCAATACAGATTCCAGAGTTGGGCACTGGTGGCTCATACCTTGTAGTCCTAGCAACTCAGGAGCAGGATATCAGGAGGATTGTGGTTCAAAGCCAGCCTCTGGCAAATAGTTCACAGACCCTATCTCAAATAAACCTATCACAAAAAAGAGCTGGAAGAGAGGCACCTGCACATCCAGGTTTATTGCGGCACTATTCACAATAGCCAAGTTATGGAAACAGCCAAGATGTCCCACCACTGACGAATGGATTAAGAAAATGTGGTATCTATACACAATGGAATTTTATGCAGCCATGAAGAAGAACGAAATGTTATCATTCGCTGGTAAATGGATGGAATTGGAGAACATCATTCTGAGTGAGGTTAGCCTGGCTCAAAAAACCAAAAATCGTATGTTCTCCCTCATATGTGGACATTAGATCAAGGGCAAACACAACAAGGGGATTGGACTATGAGCACATGATAAAAGCGAGAGCACACAAGGGAGGGATGAGGATAGGTAAGACACCTAAAAAACTAGCTAGCATTTGTTGCCCTTAACGCAGAGAAACTAAAGCAGATACCTTAAAGCAACTGAGGCCAATAGGAAAAGGGGAACAGGTACTAGAGAAAAGGTTAGATCAAAAAGAATTAACCTAGAAGGTAACACCCACGCACAGGAAATCAATGTGAGTCAATGCCCTGTATAGCTATCCTTATCTCAACCAGCAAAAACCCTTGTTCCTTCCTATTATTGCTTATACTCTCTCTACAACAAAATTAGAAATAAGGGCAAAATAGTTTCTGCTGGGTATTGGGGGGGGAGAGGGAGGGGGCGCGGAGTGGGTGGTAAGGGAGGGGGTGGGGGCAGTGGGGGAGAAATGAACCAATCCTTGTATGCACATATGAATAATAAAAGAAAAATGAAAAAAAAAAAAAAAAGAGCTGGAAGAGTGGCTCAAGGTGTAGGCCCTGAGTTCAAACCCCAGTACTGCAAAAACAATAAAAAATATCCAACACAAAAAAGGACTGGTAGAGTGAGGCAGGTGGTAGCAAGCATGAGGCACTGAGTTCAAACCCCAGAAAACCACCAAAAAAAATTAAAATACAGATTACAGAAACCCAGACCTACTGACTCAGAATATCTATATATCTTTGAGGCCTATAATTTTCTTTAACTTCCTTCCCCCAAGTTATTGTGGTACAGACTTCCTATAGGTCTACACTGAGAATCCAGGTACATTGAATACTATGGCTGGCCCTCCATATCCATGAGTTCCACATATGCAAAATCCAATCAACCACTGATGGACAAATCTGAAGGAAAAAATGCATCTGTTCTGAACACATGCAGACTTTCCCCCTAAACAGTACAGTACAACAATTTATATAACACTTATATCATATTGGGCATTAAAAGTAATCAAGAGGTGATTTAAAAAAAAAGTATAGAGAACGATATGTGTAGGTGATAATGGCATTTTATGAGGGACATGAACATCCACAGATTTTGGTACCTATGGGGGGGGGTCCTGGAAAGAGTCCCCTAATGGATACTAACAGATGATTGTAGAGGCCATCTTTGTCATCTGCAAGAAGATTGGTATACAGAGAAAATTGGTATGTAAAGAAAGCCATATAAATGAAACCAATGGGGACTGAAGTAGAGATGAAACCAAGTAGCCCCAGAAAGAGAGGCAAGGCCAGAACAGCTGCCTGAGAGCCTTCTGAAACCAAAGGCTCAGAACAACAGTTACACATCTAGAATTTCTGAGATTTCCTGCCACCTTTCGTGAGTTAGAGTGACTGAGATTTTATTCCTTCAACTCATCTACCTTTATTTAAAAATAGACAGCATCTCACTACCTCAAAGAAGTATTTAATCAAATAAAATACAAAACAGATCCCCAAAAAATTGAGCTGTGAGACAAGTCTACTTAACTGAAGGGCCAATAATGGACTTCTTCCTCTCATGGCAGAATTATCAGGTCAACCACAATGGGAATGCAGAGAAATGCAAGTAAACAGGAAAGAAGGATGACAGCTTTCCTCTCATAATTCAGTCAACCTAAAGTTCAAAAAGCTCGAAATACGTGCTCAGCAAACTTGACCAACTAGCAACACCAGGAAAAATGGAGAGGAGAAAAGAGGGTACATGGAAATTTTCCAAGATAAATCATCAGAATATCCACAGGACATGGCTAAGCACACAGTCCACACCGAGTTGACTAGCTGGGTCCAGATGCACAGATACACCCTGCTCAGGCTATATTCCTAGTGTTCTTACATCGGCACAAGTCATTCAGGTTAGTTGGAAAAATGGAAGCTCAACCAGGGCCACTGTGCATAGAGATCACAAAAATGTGTGAATTTAAAAACAGCATGCCCCCTAGAAAAAGGAAGTCCTGGGAATGGAGCCCTAGCTGGATTCAGCCCCTCCTCGACCCTTCAGCCAAGGACTCACAGTGCAGACTCTGCATAACCTTCCACATCAGGGTGGGTGGCTCAATGAAACATAAAACCATGCTTGAAGAACAAAAACACACGTAAGGGATGGTAATTTTTGTTGTTCACTCAGCATCTTTCCCCAATTATCTCCATTCCCTGTGAGAAACTGTCCTTTCCTCATTTGTGAGATTCTGGTGCATCTATCAATCACAGTAGCCTACTTTCTAGAGCACAATAACCACAAGTGGCTCAAGAAGGACCTGAACTCTTCCCTGGAATTTCACACATTTATTGCCTATTTCCTGAGAGCCTACTGGATGTGGGGCTACAGTGATGAGCAAAAGAGGCACAGTTCCTGCTCAAATAATCAGGTGAACAAATACCACATGGAGGGAAGCCCACCTACATTAGAAGAGGATCTACCAAAAGAGACAGGCAGCGCTAGGTATGGAGGACTCTGACAGCACAACACAATTACAACCTCCATATCACTTATTTAAAGCCCACTCCACCTGTTTGTCCCATTGCATGGGACCATAAATCACCTTCACTTTTTGAACTTCTCTGAGAGGTGTTTCTGACCTAATTGCCTGGTGTTTTGCTTGCTTGTTTTTTAATAATGCATTTTGAAAATATGGCAAATAGAATTAACCCATGAGAAATGACAGACTAGAAATTATCTTGCAATAAGTGCATGCTGTGGACCACACATCACCATCTTGCAATGAGGAAAATGTGTTTCTTTTGTGTTTTTCTTCCTTCTAGCCTGGTAATGAGTGGCCACCAGGACAGTGAGATCTTTATAAGGTTATGTGCCAACCCATTCTTTCTTTCACCTGTTGACATTCCCAAATAAAAGGTATAATTTTGGAAAAAAAAAAAAAAAGAGTGGCCACCAGTTACTCTAATTCTTCCTTACTGACAATGTCTACTAACTTCTTAAAGAACCCTTAAACTTTCTTCCTTTAACTAAAGAAATAATTTAGAAACCCTTCTTGTTGAATAAATGAATTACAATCAAAATAGATTGGTGGCTGACTTAATGAGTAATGTATAAAAATACCAGTAAATAAA